ACTGTCTTTCTGTTTCTGAGTGCACATGGGAAGAGTCAACACAATTTGAGCTGCAATTTGGACAAATTGATATTGACCACATATTGTCCACATAGAAAAGAGAATCAAATAAGACCTTTCACTCAGGCAAATGCTCTCAGGTTCATTGTTTTAACATTACCTTGATATGCTACAACCATTTCGATGCCAGATGCTAGAGCTCCTGTGTGCAGTGTTTCTCCTGTCCAGCCCCCTAAAGAAATTCAATTAGGGATGTATAGGCAACAGGAAATGCTAATTAGGTTTTATGTCAATTTAAGTCTTTCTGAGTGCTGTCCTTCAGCATAAAGTGCCCTTGTGTTCAGAGTGCCCCAGTCCTGTATCCCAGACACACAAATAGCTTTGTAACAAGATGACCAATATGTTATGATTGGTGCTTAGCATCGTAAAAGGCTGCAGAGTTCATCTAATTTGATAGGTCTGGTGTAGGGAAGGCAGTTTTATGGTGACATGGTGAATTTATTGAAACAGTTGTATTTGCAGATTGTGGAGGGGCTCAAACACAATCTACAGAGGAAAATTGTATTTTTAATATAATTTTAAAAAACACAACAATTTGAGCCTAACACGGAATATTTTTGACATTGTCAGTTTTAAAAAAAATTTAAAATACTAGGCTTATATTTCCTTAATAGTTGCTTCCTGATCTGTCCTTTTCCATTATGTGGTTTCTTTATTGATTTTAAGCTCAAGTTTAACCAAGACAGCAGCTGTGTGGTTTTTTAGTCAATAGATGGCTCTTCAATTTGCAAAGTGGTATCCAGTCTCATTTTTGTCAACAAACAGATGTCCATCAAAGTTTATGATAACATGAAGATAAATTGGTACAATAGGGATGCATATGTCTTGTTTACAAATTGTTCAATATATATATATATATATATATATATATATATATATATATATATATATATATATACACCTGTATGCATCCTTTTAAACCTGTCAGTCATCCTGACTTGTTGAGAATTTATAACCCTGCCCCAGATAAGCCATTACCTGGACAACCTGAAAGCCATTACCAGCAATGATGGAAAGGACTCCCATGGGGACAATAGATGGACAGTTACATAGATGACAGGTGATGAGGTGGACAAGGGAACATGAGGAACAGTTATAGCTCCCATTCCTCATACTCGATTACAGTGTGGGGCCCACTGGAATCTAAATGAATCTAACTTATGGCACAGGTGTCATTGTGATGGTGGCTGGATGGGCCAAAAACCTCAGAAGAGTGTGATAAAATGGCATGAAGGGACATTTCAAAGACAAAATTGCCTTCCTTGAAAGTACCTCTTATAACATAGTAAATCTGAATAAAAAAATTTTAAAAAGAGGTTTTCAATTGTGAAAAAAAATGTTTAAAAGTTTTACAGCGTAACTAAGATCATCAGTTGTGTGATTATTATTATTTTTTAAACCAAAAGGTGCAGTGTGTCGTACATAGAGGCAGTTAGCAGAATAGATTTGGTAATAATGTTTAAATTATTGTAAAGTCATCTGAATTTAAAACCACTTTTTTGTGAACTTCAAATAAAACTTTAATATCAACATAGATTTTTTTTTAAGGAGATGGTCATTTTGCACAGCCATGTTTCCACCGTGGCACAGAAAATACTAGGGAGTGACATACATACTTTATTTAGTGATAGGCCACACATAATCTACCATCAGTTGAAGGAAGAGGTCGTTGAGAGCATAACAATTTGTATTGACAGTCGTCTTTGATGGAAAAACTTCACAAATGGAGGATCATACTTATCATCGCCAGAGCTGGTCCTTGAAGGACACTGTTGCTTCATAAATAGGAAGGGAGGGCATTGATCCAACAACACAGACATATTAAAGAGTATTCTGCATCAGCTGCTTGGGCGTGTGCAATACGGCCGTCATCTTACCCATCGACATTATGAACCTTCTTTTTTAGTTCTTTAAGTTTGGCATTGTTTGACTTTTAAAACCTGCTCTTTTGAGTTTCAAACAAACCCCAACTATATATATATATATATATATGAACATTGATTTATATGTATCATGTGTGTTTTTTAAAATACCTATCATACGTCACATATGTCACACATCAGAACATCTCTGTCACTGTTAAGCCCACTATTAATATTAAAACATGTCAAACATGTACGTAAAACGTTTGTATTAGGATGAGCTAACAGTGACAATGAAATAGAACCTCTTTTTTTCTGTAGTCATTTAAGGGCTATTAGTGGTCAAAGGCTCAGCTACACAGAAGTCATGATAATTTACAGCTCACTCCTGTTAATAATCAATTATGGATATTGTCTTAAATGTCATGATTATATTGTCATTAGCAATATTTCCCCATTACAGTGCTCACACACAATTAGATCTGATAGGCAGCAATGACATCGCTCATCAAAAATAAGACAGCCTCTCTGTTTTCATCACTGCTGGGGTTTGAAAGATAACTGTGCTGTGCAGCTGCATTTACATTGAATGTCAACTGCAAAATCTTTCTATTATGAAAGTGTATGCTGTGATTTCAGATGATACCAAAGCCTGTGACAAAACAATGACTTGTTGATGTGCAATCAAGGATTAGAGAAACCCAGATGAGAGAACAGTGGGATGTCAACAGCACTAGCTATGAGGGAGCAAAAAGCATCTGATTAATAGGACTAGATACTCTCCTTGTTTGTTTTATCTATTATCTGGATGAAACAAGTGCCAGTTAATATCACAATCGTACAAGAATATAATCAAAACTCAGACTTAAAGAGGAGATAAGAGGTGCGGAGTCTGGTAATAGGCAACAAAATAAAGTGGGCAAAGAGGGCAAGGGTGAAAAGAGAGCCATATACAGAAAAGCACATGCTTTGATACTAGAAAATAGACTTGGCAATCAAAGCACTTTATATATTTCATAAGTGCCAGGAATGGTTGAACTTTCAGCTTACAAAATACCAGTTTATGCATTAAGAAGCCATTTCAGGACAGAATAAGTGGACTAGAGAAACAATTCAACTCTTTGATAGACCAGACGTGGCATAGACACATGCTTAATACATGAGATCAAAGAGGGTGATCTGTGACTTACTGCAGGCCAAGTTGAAAACATGGAAGTCTGTCTGTCTGTCTATTAAGATAGATAGATACTGTAAACCCTCAAAAAAAAAAAAAAAAAAAAAAAGTCATGCCCTTTATATTATCCAGGATCATAATTTTATAAGTGAATAAAAGCCAACTTTCAATTTTTGGCCAGGGCACTTTAATAGCTTTAATATGACATATGGCAATATAACAAAACTATGATGATCACACACCAATATCCATACAATCTGTTCAAATATAACCTCAGTTTTGTAGTGAACACCATCACAGGTTATATCTGTGCAGTTTGGCCCCCAGTCATTTTATCCTGGCTGAGATTTCCAATAACTGTAAGTATCTCCACTCCTACTCAGGGATGTGCCAACACCGCACCAGCCAGATAACAGCCACAACAACCACTTCAAGGCAGTCTATGGTAGCCCTTTAGGGACTCACGGTAAAAAAAAGAAAAAAACAAACAAAAAAAAAAAACAATAATAACATACCAAACAGGGAAGTCTATCACGTCACAGTCTGTATTCAGGGGTTTGAGCCACAGACAGGCCCAGTCTGATTTAACTCATTATTATAAAAACAGAAATTCTGACTCATACTAATGGATTATTTATGGTCATACAACTTCTTAGTCTTTAAGAGGAGAAATTAATCACCAATATTTAAGTTTGTCAGTAGAGTTAATCCTGAATCATGGACAATTGTGATTCTCTGGAGTCTTAAGGTCCTTACACACCAAGCGTGAACTCGCCAGGCGAATTATTCGCCTTTTTTAAAAACAGCATAAAGTCAATGCAAGCTTCCACACCGATTATTCTGCGGGGCAAAAAGCGACTTTTACTTTTTCGATCTTGTGTAGAATGTTTCAGAGATTTGCAGGCGAAAATCTGGACCTGCTAGACCTCTGGCCAATCAAAAGTCATGTTGTTGGTGACGTCACAGACCCATGCGGCTGCAGTTCACATGACACACACCACCACTGGCACCAAGAGCAACGATGGGGGAGAGGCTGGTAATTGCGGTACAGGACCACTGGATGGTGGTGTGGAACTCGCCCATCTCCTTCCTCAAAGTCAATATGGGATGTAACCAAACACTCCTTTGTTTATTCTTCTGTCTTTTTTTTTGCCAATAGCACCACAACGAGCTCATCATCGCTTGAGGATTTTGTTGACTCAATTTCTTTGTTCTCCTCTCCTCTGTGGCGCGCCAGAACTAGCGCCAAAGACAATATATATTTTTTAATTCGCTTTGCAAAATGTATACGCATATTCGCTTCGTGCCCGGTGTGCATAGGCGAAAGCGATTTTTCGGACCGGCGAATATTCGCATTTTCGTCTCGCTCTTTCGCTTCACTCCGCAAATTCGCCAGTGTCTAAGGACCTTTAGACCATTTGAGATAAAGGCCTGCCTCTAATACAAGTCTGCTTCCCATACAGGCCTGGTATGTGACACTGAACCAAAAGAAGACCCAGATGCTAGTGATGTTACGAGATGTGCCGAGGCTTCGGAGCGTGTGTCGAGTAATGCAGGGGGCGTTTCCGCGAAGCGCGTATCGAGGCTTGCTTCATCTAGGGGTGGAGCCAAAAATGATGACGTCTGAAGCCTTGCTGCCCGGCTGTACCACGTGATTGCTTCGGGAAGTGGTTCGGATTTTGCCGTGAGGTTTTACAGCTATATAGACCCCTCAGGCTTCATTCAAAATGTGGGTTGTTGAAGGAGAGTTGCGGTCAGTTGAGAGTTTGGAGAGAGTTTGGAGAGTTTGCATACTAGATTTTGGATAGTTTGGAGATAGTTTAGATAGTTTGGAGAGTTTGGCGATAGTTTGAAGAGTTTAGGGAGAGAGAGAGAGGAGAGAAGAGGAGAGGAGAGGTGATAGGATGGAGCCAGCGAGGAAGAGGAGGACTTCCCCTGTGTGGGAACACTTTGATTTGATAACTCCTAACAAGGTATGCTAAATCCAACATTTTTACAGACGCATAATTTTTGCTTATTAAGAAATATTTTTCACGGTTTCTTATTTTATTCAAAGGTGAGGTGTTTACTGTGTTCCAAGGAGTTGGGGTACAATAACAACACCTCATCCATGCTAAGGCATTACCGTGCCTTGCATGAGAATAAGGAGGGAACTGGAGCTTCATCTAGCCAAGGTAAGTCATAACAATATTACAAAAACACTATCACAATTTTTCCATGTTCATTTTTGTTTATTGTGCAAATAAAGACAAGTAACACTGTACTTATTTTCTGTTTACCAGAAAACAGGAGCTAGATGATGCCCTAGCCTCCATGATAGTGAAGGACACACAGCCCTTCAGCATTGTGGAAGATGTTGGATTTAGGGCATTCGTGTCCAAATTGGATCCTAACTATGTTATCCCTACCAGGCAGGTATGTATAGGTGCATGCATGAAGCAAATGTGGTGGAGGCCAAGCATGAGGCAGCAAAGGAGAGGGCTAAGGCTAAACTTGAAAAGGTGGCTGCCGTTAGCCTAACCTCTGACATGTGGACATCCATCAACATGGATGCCTACCTGGCTGTAACATGCCATTTTGTGGACGAAAAAACCAGGCTCAGCTCAGTGCTGTTGGGAGTGCAGGTATTCCCCCAATCACACACTGCTGAAAACATAGCTCGCGTGAAAGCCTCCCTGATGGAGGAATGGGGAATCACCAATAAGGTAACATGTATGGTTACTGATGGTGCTCCCAATATGGTTGCGTGTGGGAGAGAGCTGAAGCTTCGGCACCATATTTGCATTGCATATACCCTCAATCTGATCGTGACGAAGGCACTTGAACAGAGCCCCGTGCTTTCTGGCATCCGGGCTAAAGCAAGGAAGCTAGTTGGCTTCTTCAGAAGCAGCACCACTGCTAAGGTATGGTCATTCCCTTTATTCCAATTTATTACAACATTAATAGTTTGTGTTCTTTCTGCAGCTATTTAATGGCCTACTCATCTGTGTCTTTAAAGGAGAAGCTTACACGAGTGCAGGTTCAGCTGGGGATGGCAACAATGAAGCCATTACAAGAAGTGGAAACCCGGTGGAACAGCACATATTTGATGCTGCAATGTTTGGTGGAGTTGAGGGAGCTGGTTGGAGCAGCGTTAGCTGGGCTTCAACATGACATGCAGATGATCACATCTGATGAGTTTAACATTGTTGGAGGGTGCCTTTCGTTGCAGTCTCCCTTTTATTATGCCACTGCAGAGCTGTTGGCGGAAGAAACTGCGTCTGCCTCCAAAGTTGTGCCCCTTATGAAAATGCTGGAGCAAAACCTACAGGAGGAAATGGCGCTGCAGTGGCACTGGAAATGGGAGACCAGCTCATCAGGCAGCTACGGGAGAAGCTGTATACTTTGCAATCAATAAGCATACTGTCCCTTGCTACACTCCTGGACCCCCGATTCAAGGTGATTGGATTTTTTAGTCAAAACAAAGCCACTGAAGCAGTGAAGCGACTTACATCAGAGTGTGCTGCCATCGTAAGGCAACAACAAAGAGGAGAGGAAATCCCCCAGGCTTCTACCTCTCATGATGTCACTGGAGGTAATCTGTTAATTTACATTTTGACATCATTTATTCCTATAAGAACACTTACTAACATGATCTGTGGTTTCCTCTTAGGTAGCAAATTGTGGCATCATTTGGACACTAGCGTCATGGAAGCAAGGAGGTGTCAAAATGTTACAGCAGATGCCACTGTGGAGGTCCAGCGGTACCTTTCTGAGCCAAACATAGGACGACTGGAGAACCCTCTAGAGTACTGGGAGAGGCAAAAAATTATGTACCCAAATCTATACAAACTTGCTCTTGCCTTTTTGTGCACACCAGCATCTTCTGTGCCTTGTGAGAGGGTGTTCTCCAAGGCAGGAGAAATTGTGTCAAAAAAAAGAAACCGTTTAAAACCAAAAACTGTTGAAAAACTTCTGTTCCTTAATAAAAATGAATGAAACTTCCCCTGTCCTGTACATACAAGTAACACAAGCTTAATCTTTCATAGTTCCACAAGCACTTCCACCATCCCCTGCCTGATTATGCCCATGCCATTTCCAGAAAAACATTGCACAATCTGCCGTACCATAATATTACCATTTTGGGAGAATTTACACACAGAATACATTCAAAAATTTATTATACACATATGTGATCATTTATGTACAGAGATTATTTGTTCATACATTTTTTGTAATTCATAGTCATTCCCATCAGAAATAACAGACACAAAAATTCAATGCTTCACACATTATGTGGTTCAGATTCAGCTGCCTGTGATTATATACTTGGCCAGTAGGTGGTTTCGTGTGCATGAAGCTTCGAGAAATGAACCATTTCTTGAACCAATTGGCTCAAGTGGTTCAATGCCTCATGAGGCTTCATTTCACCATCACTACCAGATGCAAACTCAAAGGCTGGCAAAATCAAAGTCTGTTTAATAAAAAAATCTAAGTCTGTTTAATAAAAAAAAAAAAAAGTTGGTACATTGGATCCAAAAAAATCACAGGCAAAAAGCTAAGTCAAACAATACTGAAATGAGGTCAAAACACTGAGGCAAACACTAGAAATATATGCTGGAACTCTGACACTAAGGACAAGACAAACTGGCACAGAGGGGAGGGAAAGCTGGGTTTAAATACACCAGGGCGGTGGAGTTAACAAGACACAGGTGAGACACATCAGGGTAATCAGGGGAGCAGGTTACACAAGGAGGAGGAAGCCAATGAACCAGAAACAAGAGACATGGGTGAGTATCAAAATAAAACAGGAAACACATAAAAAGAAACATGAGGGATGAAAAAAAACAACAACATATAACTAATCAGGAGATGTGACATGGTACTAACAAACTTTTGGCAGTAAAAGCAAATGAGAGATCTAGTCTTTATTTGCAGTTTTATGGAATAAACAAACTGTGTCTATGAGTGTGTTAATGTTTATGTCTAGGTTTGTTGATGCACAGCATGCGTTCTCTGAGTTCTGCCTCTACTCCTGGGGACCGCAGAAGAATGACAGCACATAGTAAAAAGACAAATGTCAACTCAACCCCCATGCAAATGTCATAAAAATAGTACTTGTATTATGACCATCTGCTATGGATTAGGGTTAAGTCAAAATTCAACAACTAGATAAATCAGTCCAAATGAATGACAAAGGTAAGTGAGGAATGTTTTAGAAATCTATTAAAAGCAGGTATGCTAAAGGACAAGTGCTATCTAAACAAATACTCTCACATAAATGTGTCCTTGCCTCCATGATGGTAGATTTTGGAAGACACTGAGGTCGAGGACCACCTGGTCCTCAGGCTCTGTCTGGCTCTGTGACAGCGAGGAGCTGCAGCCTGTGCAGAAGTCAGAATCCGTATCTGCTGCTTCAGTGATGGGCTACACTTTGCAGAAGCTACATTGTCTTCGCAGGATTTTAAGTGTTTCCATTAAACATGAGGATTTGTTCCTTTTGACCTAAAAAACAGGTTTAGGCGTAAGCCTTTGGTTTGCTGATGGTGTACTATATTATAAGGTAAGTTAACATTTGAACTGCCCACACAGCACATGCTGCTACTTGGCTCTCTATCAGCTTTACAGTGATAACAGCATGTTGGCATTTATACACCTCTAAAGCTGATTAATCTCAAGCCTGACAGTAAATATGTTCGCATTTGAGTCATGCACACAGAGGAGGGGAAAAACCATGAAGGGCCATGAAAACATTACTAAATGGCTCAAGCACATTTTTGAATGATTTTGCTCGACTGCAAGCACTTGCAAATGGCTACTAGCAGAGGGGGAAAGCAGCTGAGGACAGGTATATGGTATATTTCATTAGACATGGAGCCTTAGGGGAGCTGACTACACTGTATGCTTGTCACAGAGGATTGATGACGGCTCTCCATAAAGGTAAATAAATAAATAATTGCAGTAATCCCAGAGATGTGAGGGCCATAATGTGTGCTGCAATAAGAAAGCTTTGGTCTGAGGCTTTTGATAGAACTTTAATTCACCGTGGAATATGTCTTATTTATTAATTTATATAACTGTGCTGTTTATTCATGTGCTGCTGCAAACACGGCTGAAAGATTGGGCTCTCTTTGACGGCAAAGCTCACCAGGTTATCTGCTTTAGTGTCATCCATTAAATGATTCACAGCTTTTCAACGCTGAAGAGATGACTAAATGGTTTTCTTTGTAAGGAATGGGGGCCTTTGAAAACTTAAAACAGGCACCACTCATGCCCCTGAGGATACCTTTTTTAAACATCTCCTTTACAAATATATTAGCAAAAGACAGAAAACAGAATGAATATGTTTATCATTTTACTCAATTTTGGAATTTATATGGTAAAAATAGCATTGGTCTTGTTGTGTTGCTTTAAAAACGAGGGAGGTACAGCCTATAGCAGTGAGATGTGCTTCTCGTGTGTTAGTACAAGTATATTTTCCTATTTAAGAGATTGATTTATTGTCTTATTATAGTCTCAGTCCGACTGAAACTGGACTTTTATAAGTCACATAAACACATTAGTCCGACTGAAATTGCACTAAATCACACTGGTGTATCCTCTACAACATACCTACCACACAATTTTTTGTTTGTTTTTTTCAATATCCATGAGAGAATTAACAAATAAATTTGCAGAGATTTTCCACAAATAATCAAAAAAGGACAATAATTGTACTAAAGTTTAAATCACTGATGTCCAAAGCTGGAACCGTGGACAGTACTGAAATATCACACTGTTGGTGAATTGGCATGACTTCAAATGAGATAGCAACGTATTGTATATCAGTGATACGAAAGTTATCTATAATTTGTCATCATATCAAGAGGTATACAATTAATGACCTGAAACACAGTGGTAACACATGGTGGCCTTAGTTGAATGATGTTCATAATGTCGTCAGTTTCTTATGAATAGTTTTCTTTTTTTCCTTTATCTCAGACATATAATCTTTTTCACGTACTTTGGCATGTTTTGGCGGAGACTGCCACCTTCCTCAAAAGTGTCACTTGGTGGTAGGTGTAACACGTCATATCAGCTGGTGTTACTGAGGCGTGACCCTCCTGTCAATGCTTGTTTGTGGGGGGAGCCCAGATGAGTCAACCACCGAGTGCAGCGTATCATTTTCTTTAAGTAAAAATCATCATAATAATCATTTTTGCACTGCAGACGCAGTAGTTCTTCTGCCTTAGCGTCTCAGTCTGATTGCATTTCCATGAAGTAATAATCATAAATGTTCTTCCTTGACCTGCGAAACTTGGCTGCACTCTGTGATCAACTCGTCAGGACTCCCCCACAAACAAGCAGCTGCTGGAGGAGAGTGAGTTGTGTTTAGTATCTTTGCTAAAGAAATCAGGCAAAGCTAAAAAGATGCTTGGTGGCTAGTACTATGGCTGGGACCCTATATGTACTGTTAATGAAGTTAAGTGCTGTTCTGAGCATTATTTGTGACTACAGAGTGGCTTCTTGGTTGAGGTTTGCACATGGAGACGTAGACTACTGTGTATTGCTATCATGCGGTTGTTGCGGAAGCAAGCAATCGGCAACATTCATCTCTCAAGGGGGTGTCTAACTCTGTGTTACAGTGTGTTTGACCCTAAATGAAGCATAGCGTTAGCTCTGTCAGGACATGACGTCTGGTCCGCAGCCAATGGCTAGTAGCCACCTCAACCAGACGATAGTCAGCTGATTCACTCCTAGCTCCTATTGATCCTTCGCCTATAGAGCGCCTTATTTAAAACTGCACTAACCCAGCCTCTTCCTCTGCTTCGACAGCTAACCAGCAACCCACCACCACCCTAGCTTCACCCTTGCGCCAGCTAATTGCTCTGCTACCCTTGAAGCGCTCCTGTACCAGGGGGGTTATGTTCATCGCTGCCTTACCCCCTGCTGTCTCTGCCTTCATGATGGCTCGTGGAGGGCAGGAAGGTGCTCTTTCTGCCACAGGCCTTTCACCCATGCCAGCGTGGAGAACGGGGCCCCAAACAGAACCTTGTGTGCGCTCCCTGCTATCGCCTTCCATGATGGCTCGTGATGGGCAAGCACGTGGAAGGGCAGGGACCCAGAACAGAATCATGCCGCCAAATTTAACCTTGCACAATAAAGCTACATTTATCAAGTGTACCTGACTGAACTTAATCTAACACCGGAACATCCCTTTAAGCCAGGGGTGGGCAATCATGTGCCATGGAGGGCCGAGAGGCTGCAGGTTTTCTTCACCAGGTGATTTCACTGATTAGTCCCTGCTCTCTGCTTGGAGGTAAGGTTATCAGTGAAATCACCTGGTGGAGTTTTGGGTTGGAAAGAAAACCTGCAGCCTCTCGGCCCTCCATGGCACATGATTGCCCACCCCTGCTTTAAGCTGTTCCTCCTCAAAGGGCATCTTGCTACTGTTGCGCTTTTGAAGTTTTCTGACCTACAGTATTGATGGTCTGTACATCAGTTTGGTTTTAACATATCTCCCAGCTAGCCTGTCATCTGATGTGACAAAACGCTATGGCATCATGGGATTTATGTGACCATTGATTTGGTTCATATCGGTGCAGCATCGCAGAGATCCCTTTTTATTCATCAGGAGAGCATGCTCAGTTGAATTGGAAAGCTGACACACTGAATCAGAAGAGGATAATATGACAAACTGAAAGCTCATGTTTTAGTAACTCAAATTAGTGAGCTGACTTATTCAAACTGAAAGCTTATGGATATTTTAAATATCTGTTTATTCACTTGGTCAAATATGCATGAAAG